CATCAGACACAAACACACACAGTGGGAGGGGGAGAGATCTTCACATTTGCTGATTAATGCCACCCACCATGAGATAAATAAACTGGAAGAAAAAGCAAAGGACAGACCATATAAAAAGAGCTTGATTGAAGCTTCAAGAGTCATTAAAAGTACAAAAGAGCCTGGGGTGCTGTTATTTTGGGCAAGGAAGGGGCAGAGGCAGAGAGTGCTTAATCTCATGGAGAGGTTGTTTTGCTCTCTGGACTTCTGGACTGCAGATTGAAAAAAATATTGCAAACCTATTACGGTGGTGGTGGTGAGTAGCTCGTTTGAGATATTTTTAGTTGAAAAACTTACAGGAAAGAAAGAAGGAATTACCACTTGTCCCAGCACACCTTTACTCAAAAGCTGGAACCTATACTAGTTGCCTTTCATTCAGAAAAAAGAGGAAAAAAAGGAGTTGGCTCTTTCTTGTTAGACATATTCACATGTAAACTTTCCTAAGGGGGAATAAATACATTTCTCCTCTTTAAAAGAAGCACAGAAAGAAGACAAACTGAGTTAGGCTGTCTTTCTCTCATTGCCTTGTAACAACCGAAGCAGCTCCTACAACGTTCAAGACCAAAGGAACATGGAGATCAACTCCTACCATAAGTCCAGTTTTTTCTGTTGCAACAGACTAACATAGCCACACTTCTGGCAGTTATGTAAGTGAGGTGAGCGGTCAGGTTTGTAAAAAATGAAAATAAAAATCCACAAGCAAATATTTGTAGATTCAAATTCCTGAACCATTGCTTGGTTCTCCAGCCAAAAGAGGTCTCATCATTTCTCCAGCTCATTGGTCTTAGCCAATTCATCTGATGTGTAACATTGTATAGAGAGAAATCTCTTTCAAGACACTGTATGCCAGGAAAAAAAATCTATGATTTCTCTCGGCAACATGGTATAATATGTGGGCAACCTCTGAGCAAAATGCATGCATGAATTCACTATACAATGAAAAATGCATTGTTTCTGTTGTTTCTTTAACATCTGTGCCATGCCATGCCCTCCCTCCTAATGATACCTTCTATATAAGCCCACTGGGAATCAAATAATACCCTCTGTGAAAGTTTTCTGTCAACATGATTTTCCTGTATAAGGAGGTATTCAATGAACTATAAGCAAAGAATCCACCTAAAAGTCTAGAAGGCATGTGGGACGAGAAGTGAGCATCAGAGAATTATTATTAGTTTTGGGTTTAGTTAGAATAGACCTGATTAAATGAATGGATTTAAGTTAATCATAACTAACCTGATTTCTATTAATTTCAAAAAGTACATTCTAAGTATTTAAGACTGTACCCGCAATACATAATTGCTGTATAGTAGTTTGATACCATTTTAACTATCATGCTCTGTCCTATGGAATTCTGGGATTTGTAGTTTGGGGATGTATTCTAGTGCACCTTCTGAACTACAGCACTAGACTAGAGCAATCTGTTTGCTGTTTGGTTGCTTTGTTGTTTTATGTTATTTGTTGTAAACCTCCCAGAGTGTCCTTGGCTGTCAGATGGGTAATGTATAAATCAAATAAATAACTACATAAGTACATATCCCAGGGTTCCTTAGGAAGATGCCATGGCAGTTAAAGCGGCATCTAACGGCTATAATTCTGTAGTGTTGATCAAGCCCAGTCTCTGCATGTACTGGCATTTAGAAGCATATCCCATATCTTGCAGAATAAGCTTGATTCATTTTGGATTGCTCTTTGAGAGGTAAACATATGTTTTATTTGGAAGTCTGATTGCTTAGGTGAACAGTTCTAAGAAAATATCATTGTTGGAGGAATAATGTCCAACTAGTATTTAAATGCAAACCTCCAGTTTTTTCTAGTTTGATCTCTATGGATATTTTGCACTTTTTTGCTCCTAGCCAGCACAAAAAAATTACAGAGAAGGGTGGAGCAGAATGGTAGGAGACTTGGTGGATTCTTGCTTTTTGCTTGCCTATGAAACTTCAAAAGTTAGAGGACCTTCTGGTCCCCGGAGGGTCTATATCCACAAGGCTCATCATCCTCTCAAAGGGCCATAACCTCTCTGTTTGGAGGTACACTCCACTATCTGCCAATCATATTTAAATATAAAGTAATAAGCAGAATTATCAGTACTAAGGCTTTCCAAAAGATGTCCCTTTGTCTTTTGAAATTTAGAAAAAATTAAAAAAAATAAAGTGGTTAGAATTAAAAAAGAATGTCACTGGAAACCAAGGGGAAAATCATCCATACTATGTGAAAGAGAGATAGTGAAGAAAGACAGGGACACAAATCAACTCAGTTGAAATGTGATTTTGGAGGAGAGCCTTACAGATACCACAGTCAGAAAGGCAGAAAAGTGGGTTTTCAAGTCAAGCCTGAACTCTCACCAAAATGAGTCAACTGAGCCTATCCTACCATGCATATATAATGAAAATACTGTACTGACCTGAAAAGATAGTATTGTTGGGATAAGTGGGAGGGGGGCAATAAGAAGAGAGGAAGACCTAATATGATACAAATTATCTCAATAAAGGAAACCAGAGATGTTAGTTTGCAAGACTTGAACAAACTGGAAGAAGACAATATTGCTGGGAAGGGGGCAGTAGGAAGAGAGAACAATCTAACATGAAATGTTATTGGTTTGCAAGATTGGAGCAAAGCTGTTAATGATAGGACATTCTGTAGATCATTAACTCATATAGTCATAACACATCAGAAGTGACTTGATGGCACATAACATCTTTGGAGGGTTTTTTAAATTAATTACCAGACAATAGTATACTGAAAAGACAGTGGAATGGTTGAAATTAGGGCAGGATATAAGCTCCAAAGCTCTGCTAATATGGAGTAATATCATCTCCAGCCACAAAGCAAAAACAAACAAACAAACAAAAACAACCCAGTAATTTCACAGCTTAAACAAATGAGCTTCTAAATATTTCTCTATTCTTTTAAAAATATATTTTAAAATATTTCTACAACCAGACACAGAATCCCTTTGCCAGCACCAGTGCCTGTATGGCCAAGAAGGAGTTAAAAAGTTCTGCTCCTGAGAGTTAGCTAATTGGGTTCTGATGGACAGAGTCAAAAGTTCAGGTTGCCCAAGACCTGGAGCTGATTTCTCCTTTGAAGACTGGTGTCTGGGGCCTGCTTCTCAGAAATCCTGAGAGAATGTTTATTGCAAGTACTGAGAGCAGGAACAAACACAAGTGCTCTGTGCTTTTTTAATGCAGAAAAACACTGAACATTCCTTACAACAATGTATGCTAATTCCCTGGAGATAGCTGGCAAAATGTCCCTTTCTGGAAAACTGTCACTCCATTATTTTCTTTAAAGCAAGCCTGGTTTTTTGACTCTTCAAAGAAAACCTGTCTTTTGACTACACTATTTCGGTTTCTGCCCTTCAAACATCTCTCTTCCTTGCCCATGAGGCTGCAACAGTGAATCTCTTTTGCAACCTTCTTGCTGGTAAGCCTGGTCCAAACACACTGAGTGTTATAACAGAGTGGTTGTATTTCCTTTTGACACACTTTTTTTTTTAGAATCAATATTTCAGCCCTTGCAGCTTGGGTTCCTTCCAGATTTTAAAGAGGGGTGAGATCAACCATTCTCCTTCTAGATAAGCAAGATTGGTCTTTTCAATTTGTATGGACTATTTTAAATCTGGGTACATTTAGAGTCTCCTGCTTCTGAATGTGGGGGACAGTTTTAGATTTAAAAACCCATACTCAAAAACCGTTTGTCCAAACTTCACAACATTGGGCACAGAGCAAGAGCAGACTGTCTGCTACATCTGGGCCAAATTTAGTTCTGGTTTAAACTCCAATTTCATTGTTATAATGTTTTTGTTCAGGCTGCCCCATTTTTAGAATTATCTTGCAAAATGTTGATCTGCTATGCTCCACAATAACACAGCTGCACAGTAACTTGAGCACAGTGCCCATGGAAGAACCACTCACACCGTGTGTCCAAATGTATTTTAAACAAGAAGATACAAATGAAGTAGAAGAGTTCCCCAGAATAGCTTGATTATATAGTGTTCCAATTAAAAATAAAATACACAAGGTTTATTTTATTTATTTATTTATTTGTTTATTTGATTTTTACCCCGCCCCTCTAGACCATGTCTACTCGGGGCGGCTTACAAAATAAAACAAAACAATATAAAAATATATAAAATCATAAAATTACATATTTCAATTTAAAACAATTAATTTAAAGAGAGGATTACCAAGATGGAATAGCCAAAAAAAGAGAGAGAGAAACAGAGAAAAAGACTTAATTGACTGGAAATTATGCACATTGGTTTTAGAATGGAAGGGGAGGTTTTACTGAATCTAAATTCTGCACCCAATACCAGAATTTTCAATATTCATATAATCTAAGCAGCCCTGATTATATGGTTTCTCCAATCCACTCTATACTTTCATTAGGATTTACTTCTGACAGCACCAGATTCTACCAAAAACTGTATTCATTGGCACTTATACCCCTTAAAAATCTTACACCACATCTACCCTTAGATTTCCCATAACTGCAACCACAGTAACAGCATGACAGAGACTTGTCTATTTTGACATTTCTGCTATGTTCACAGCATTGCTGCACATGCTTGCCTTGCTTTTTCGTCTTCCTCTCCACCTCTCTTAGTCATTAATCTCAGGCACTGCTGAAAATAAAATTGCCAGGCTATGACACAATCCAGTGTGCTCATCATTTCAGAGTACTTACAAATTGCATGAACCAGAATAATTTTCATTTTATTTGCATAAAGGATGCCAGTCCAGTCCACCAAGTTGAGAGTGTGATTTGTGATGAAAATATTTCCCTGGAAACCAGGTCTGTAAAGCTTCTCATATGGGTATTGTTCCTAACTAAAGGCAACACAAAATGTTATGGCCTTCCTTCCACTGTATTTCATTTCACAGAAGCAATATGGCAGCAGCACTCCATCTGTACCATGCAATGTAAGATTAGATCATTCAAGGTACACAGCAAATACTTACAAGGGGTAAGAAAGTCAACAAAGGCCGAACTCTTGGACGTGGCTTCAGCGTTGCTGTTCCAGAATCAGTCACTGAACCAAAGCGATTATCCCCATAATAAATGCCATCCAATTCACCTAAGCCAAAAAAATAAAGCGAGACAAGTAAGCTATGAAAAGTAACTGAATCTAAATATTGCATCATAGATATTGCCCTTGAATATAAGGGACAGAATTCTGCAGGATTATGTAAAAATCTCTTACCAGCTGTTCAGACTAGTACTTTGCATCAGATAAATATCAACAGCATAGTTTATGTTAAGCTGGTCTGTTGAGCTACCTATCTTTTGTTTGGCTTTTGCAAAGTAATGGCGCTCCCTACACTGTTTGTTACATTTGTCCATGAGACTGAGTGTTCCAGAGATTTTGTTTGTGTGGGGAGCAAACCTGCTGAATGAACGTCTGCCCGTTAGAATGCCAGGCCTGTCGATGGGCCCCAGACTGAAAAATATTTAGTTAAAGGCACGACTTCTAATTAATCCTCCTTCCTTCGTTCCTTTGGAATAACCAACACAAAACTAACTTTTGTCTACCTGGATAGCTCAGTGAGTTGAAAAGGCACGACTTCTAATTAATCCTTCCTTCCTTCCTTCCTTCCTTCCTTTGGAATAACCAACACATAACTAACTTCTGTCTACCTGGATAGCTCAGTGAGTTGAAATTCCTGGTTGGGAGTTTGACTCTTCACTGTGCCTTCTAGGACAAGAGCTGGTCAGTGTGGCTTTCAGGAAGCTGCACAATTCCAGAGGACTCCCCAGAAGAAGAGAACAATAAACTACTTTTGAGTACTGTATCCTGTAAGTGGTTTTTGTTACTTTTACAATTACCACGGCACATAGAGTTGACAGGACAACAGCATCCAAGTCCCTCAGATTTTAGAGCCAAACCCTGAAATTAGAGACAAATCCTGGTGATGTTACAGAGGCAGGGTAGGCAAGAGTTAGGAGGCACGCCAGAAGTACTTCTCAGCCAGTTGATTCTGGAAACAGGCACAAAAGACTCCATTCCTTGCTTTACTCCAAACGGCAGAAAGGATGGGCCCAACAGCATTCACAAACTGGCTCTGTCCCCGCTAACTTCTCCTTACTCTTTGGCTTCAGGGATGGGCCAAAAATGGTGCCATCATCCCATTTAGACCAAGACAGAGAGTGGAGCACTGTGGTAAGGACTCATGACTCCTCTCTTTTTTTTTGCTGAGGTCCTGGCAGCAACAGCACACAAGCTGGAGAGAATTTTCCCTCCCTTGGGTGTCCTGCTTCTGAGACATCATAAGGGCCAACCTCTTAGTTTCAGGTTTTGGCTTTGAAATCTCAGGGGATCAGATGTTGCTGACCTGGCAACTCTAAAAGCAAACCTTCCAGTGGAAATTAGAATGACAACCAATACTGACTTTTTCAAGATCACCTCATGAGATTAATAAATTTGTGGGGATTCTCTATCTCCCACTAAAAAAAGATACCGGTGACTTTTATTTACAATACTCAGCTGGCCCTCAAGTACAGAAAATGATATTAAACGGGAGTCCCTGCAGCGCAAATCCAAAGTGTGCCATGTTTTGTGAAATACTATTCAGTTACTAAGAGCAAGGCAAAAAGGAAGAAAATAAGTGAGCATTTCTAGGTTTGGTAAACAACATAAACTTCCTCTCATCATACCTACTTGTAGAACAGGTGGCAGATTCTACTGACAGATTAGCTTTTGCCCATGGCACTGAAATGAAGGCATTTGGCCAAGAGGCTTTGGCAAACCCACTAAAAGGCCTTTGGTGCAGTTTTGTTGTCAGTTGTTAAGTGCTGCCCAGTCATTTACCACAACAAACAAATAACCCCGTTGAATCCCAAGCTGTTGCCTTCCTTCATGCCCTGCTCTCATGGCCAGCTGCACAGGCCCGTAGACAGGAAGTCTCCTTTCACACACAAGTGCTTGGCTTTACTTTATCATTCTAACAGATCTTGGTCCTTTAATCATCTACAGGGCAGTGAGGCACAATAAACCCTCAGTGTTGCTCAACAGTAACGTTCCTCTTTCAGGTTTTCAGCTGGCACCCTGAGATCTTTTTGTCTGGTGGCTTTGCAAAAAGTCAGCAAGCAGAGAAAACAACAAGAAAGTTGTTGGCGTTTTTCCTCATTCGAGGACTGAATGGAGTCTACAGTAGGAGGCACAGGGTGAGGCACAGTGTACAGAAATTGCTTCCTTCTTTCCTTATCTTGTACCTTTATTCTTGCCCAAGCAAGGGGGAATGGAAAGAATTAGGAAATCACACTTGTGGTTACAGGTGAGTGCATTACTTTAAAAACGCCCCAGCATGGCCCATTTGCTGGGCAAACAGAGCATCTTCCTCTTGAATAGCAGCCTCAGGAAGAACTGGCCAAACAGATGCAGTGGTTCCTCCATACCCTGCTCCTCTAGCCAGGTAAGATAAGAGCACCTATTAATCACATAGATTTTAATCATATAGATGTATAGCTGGAAATACAAAACAATTAAGGAAGTATAGATAGAATGCTCAGATGTCTTTTTCAGAAGTCCTCCATTTGGAGGTATCAGAGAACAATCCTCTTTTGCAGTTTTTTTTTTCATTTCAAGAGCTGTCCAGCCCTTATCTGATGAAGATAAAGAACCCTAAAGAGGAAGATCAAGGACCCTGAAGTTGCCCATCTACTGTGAGCACCTGGGGAGCTAACTCAGCAAGTATACAAATTATCTTCTGACTTTCAAGTCAATTAAGCTGTATTGCAATTCTTTTTGAATTATAAAAATCAGTTCAAATTTTGCAACCGTACATATACATCAGCCTATGCAGTTTTATGCAAATCAACATCCTCTTTTGTCCTTCTGGGTGGTGATATATATTTCCTTTTTTCATGATGCATAAGTGGCCACCCCAGGTGCAAATGAAAGAAGGTCAAGGTATTTTGGTGTCTGGAATAGCAAATCCAAAGACAGTCTCTGATAGTATGACTGACTGCACATTGGCATTACCCCAGATGTAATTCCGAAGGAAGGTCATTTCATTGTTTTACCCTAGTAAGCATCTCTAACTATATCTTCAGCAACTTTTCAGTAGTAATGAGGTTGGTATATTGCTCTGTATTGCTCCAGCTTTTGGACCTAGCTGCCACTCCAGGTAGCATGGCCAAATAAATGGCTAGCATATCAACATCAAAAACAAAGAAAAATTTGATTAAAGGCATGTCAGTTGATTAGCAACACGATCTTAATATTATTTCTTCAGAATTAAATCCCATTGAGTTCAATGGGACTTAGTCCCAAGAGTTCACAGGCCTATAGATGAATCAGATGAGTTTTAGTTAACCAACCAATCAACCTATCAATTAGCATTACTGTATTGATTTTTTCATATATTTGCATATGAATAAATAAAATAGTTTTAATGAATAAAAACAATACTTCTGAAGCAAGAGACCTGTTTCATTTTCAGAATTTTCCTACATATATAGCAGCAAGACTCATGTACAGGAAAGGATATGTCTAGTAAAATGATGTATTCCTAAATCTGTGGTACATACAGTATTTAACATCAGGGTAGGCAGAGTGGGACCTTTCATATGTTGTTGGACTGTAGCTCCTAGAATTCCTCAGCACTAATTATCCTGGCTGTAGTTGGTGGGAGATTGGGCCCAACTACATCTGGTGAACCATATTGGGCCCAGATCAATACACATGATTATTAGGAAACAAGTTCCAATGAACACAATGATGTGTCTAAACAAACACTTACAAAAGATTACATGCTTGGGTGAGTAATCAAATCAATTCAATATTGCAATCCACCTAAAAATATAATAAAACCCTTAAGTGTGATCAAACATTACAGCTCACATGATATTAAATCTATCCAATGAAACCAGTTTCCAAACATTCAAAAGAACAAAAAACCCTCGGTTCAGACCTCTTAAAATCTAGCAAGGCAGGTCTCTCAGCAAAAGAAATTTGGAAGAGAAGAGATCAACGCAGAAAATCCATGATCATTTCTAACAAGAAAACAGTGCTGAAGAGGCAATACACATACTGTGCCACTGAGATGTGGAGGTGCCCATACATACTATTATTGCCATTAGTAACATCAGTGGATACACAATAACAATCTCAATTAACTTTATATATATTAACGGCAGTCTCAAGTGAGGGTGCTTATATTACCACATCACCACCATCTATGCAACAAGAGGGAGACTTTAGCAGCCTTTAGGGAACTTAAAACATTTGCAAAAGTACACCCTCCCCAAGATTTTCAAAGAGGAGTCTTCAAAACAACCAAGAGAAGACTAAGTATGTTCAGTGAATATGAAATGTGGACTGGTTGTTGAGCGAGAGAAATGGAAAGGTACGCTTCAGGGGAGTAGATAATGGAGCAGAATGCCCTGGATGAAGGTGTAGGTCAGTAGTTCCCAACCTTGGTTGCCTAGATGTTCCTGGCCTACAATTCCCAGAAATCCTGGCCAAAAGAACTAGTGATGAAGGCTTCTGGGAGTGTTAGTCCAAGAATATCCAGGGATCCAAGGCTGGGAACTACTGGTGTAGGTGATCAAGAGCACCATGAGCCACAATATGTAGGCATTGGTTGGTTCCACCTGATTCCACTTTCCCAGCATTCAAACTGTGAATGCAGAGAAGACTAAGTATGTTCAGTGAATATGAAATGTGGACTGGTTGTTGAGCGAGAGAAATGGAAAGGTACGCTTCAGGGGAGTAGATAATGGAGCAGAATGCCCTGGATGAAGGTGCAGGTCAGTTGTTCCCAACCTTGGTTCCCTAGATGTTCCTGGCCTACAATTCCCAGAAATCCTGGCCAAAAGAGCTAGTGATGAAGGCTTCTGGGAGTGTTAGTCCAAGAATATCCAGGGATCCAAGGCTGGGAACTACTGGTGTAGGTGATCAAGAGCACCATGAGCCACAATATGTAGGCATTGGTTGGTTCCACCTGATTCCACTTTCCCAGCATTCAAACTGTGAATGCACTATGGTTAAATAGTGAAATTCAGCAAACTTGTGGAAACTTCAAGGTATTCTCCATCTCCAAAATTAGGGGGAAGGAAATGATTGGGGAAACAAAATGGAAAACCCAGTGTTACAAGGAATGGAAGAGAATACCTTCAATACGTATAATGCTAATCCTATGCTCCTTTTATTTTATCACTGATGAAAAAGATTCTTTGCCTTCTCTGTTATTTACTTTGCCTCTAGCCTCCCTGTATTACACTGAGAATACACCGCTGCACAATAGGAACATTTATTAAAGGCATCTTCATTTCCCCTGGCACTATGGCCAGAATCCTTTTCCCAATGTGTATTTGTATAAGGAAAATAATGTAACAATGGCAAATTGCTGCTCATTAATTACCTGATCATGCAGTTAGGGACGTGCCCGGGAACATAACCAGCATCTTGTTAATGAGTGCCAATTTGCTGCCAGGATTTACGTGATTTCTCTTACTCAAAAATAGATTTTGCAATCACTGACATGCCCAGGACCACAACCAGCATCTCAGTGGGAAATTGCCACTAAGATCTAATGCAATTATTCTTATGCAATAAAATTAGCCATAGGATTCTGGCCACTGTCTGTGACATACTTGCTACTGATATTATGGTTGCTGTCATAATGTATCACTAACATTTTTCAAAAAGTGTTAAAGAAAAGGCATGGGCATTTTCATTTCAACAATTTTCAAATGTTCACTTATTTTATTTTGAATGCCCCTGGTGTCAGCTTTTGCTGTTGTTTTGCTTCTGTTTAAGGTGGTGCTTTCAGGAAAGGGAGTCAGAGCACATACAGCTCCAAACTTAACCTGAAGAAGCCTGGGTCAACAACTACCAGCTCTTTCATACTATGGGCCCCATGGAAATCAGAAGGGAGGGGGTAGTATTTGGAAGTTATGGAATCTCAAAATACTCAATGGAGGCAGTCTGTTGTAAAGAGGAACTGTTTCAGATATCAGATGCACACCGGCATTATTTCTAAATCTTGTGAGCCTCATGGCACAGCAATTACACTGTAGTACTGCAATCAAATGTCTGTTCAGAACCTGAGTTTGATCCCAGTAGGTTCAAATAGCTAGCTCAAAGTCGACTCAGCCTTCCATCCTTTTGACCTTGGTAAAATGAGTACCCAGCTTGCTGGGGGTCAAGGTATTCTTTGCTTTGAGTACTTTAAGCACTATAGGATGGTATATAAATTGAAACAATGATGATGCAGATGTAATTATGGCAGCAGAGGAAACCTGATGACTGAGTTGGTGTCAGAAACTAGGAGCAGAAGTTGGGGACTTCCTAGCTTCCAGACCTATATTCTTACTAATAGACTATGCCTCTTTGAGCTGGTCTTTCTAGTAATGAGCACAGCTCATCATTTATTTTAATAAGGTTCTGAGATGAACAGCATGAATTAACAGGTATGATCAGCACAGACAATCAGATCCTATGTGCCCCACCTCTGCTTGAAGGGTTGCAGAGAAAGCAAATATTAAAAATAAAGCACAGAAGGAGGAAGAAGGGAGACACACTGAATGTGCATGATCAGCAATAAAGCAAGATGGTTTCCCACATAAAAGGTGTCACACCCATTCTAATCAATTACATTCCATTATTGATTGACAGTTAGAGAGAGGGAAAACATAGTTTCATTAAGGGATTTGAGAAGCATGCATGCAGACACAGATGTTCTATTGAAGCAGAGGTTGAGACAGCCGCCGGTCATTTGTGATCACAATCAGTGGATTGTTTGTCCAACAAATACTCCACACGATCCCTAGGTAGCTTGTGAGTCAAGTGAGGGTGCAGGAGAAATACCTTCCCTTGCCACACCAAGATGAAGTCCATGTGCATGCACGTGCACATACCTGCATGCACACATGTTTTCATGCATTCACTTGTCCACATTACTTGGATCATGGTCTACTACTGCACAATACTCAGATACACCAGGAGGAAAGCTGGATATATATGTTTCTTAGGGAGGTACTTATTTCTGCTTATTTTGTTCACATCTAGCTAGCTTGTAGATGAAAATCTTGTAATAACTGGTTGTCTAAGCTGTCATGGTGACAAGTATTACTGTCACCTAGACTCACCCATTCTGACAGTCTATGACTCTTCTGCCCAGTTCGCCTTCGAGATGGCAAATTAAGCTTTAAATAGAAACAGATAATTAGGGTAACCTCCATGTTAAGTGTGGGTGAGATTGATTCTGTTAGCATCAACCTCAGACAGGTCCACTCTCCAAAACGACTGCAAAAGAATGAGAAAGCAGGAGAATAAGCAGAAGGAAATGATAAGGAAGAGCACTCAGATTGTTTCAGTGCCTCTCCCATTTGCAAATGGCAGCAGCTTACATTTTTCCTCCATGTAAGAACTTTCTGGTCGCAAGTTAGCATTGGAATATCTGTTTCTTACAGTGAGAGGGCATAAAATGGCACACCTCTCACATGATGAGTTTAGCACAGAGTAAGGACCGGGATGAACTCAACCACATCAGAAAATGTTTATTTGAGTGTACCTGAATCTCTGTGAAGAAAGAGTGATATTCTCATGTGGTGGCAGAACTGTCTTAGGACATGGTCACACCAAGGAAATGTTCCCTTGTTCTAATGATACTTTCCATAGCTTTGTTGTACTGAATTAAAGTCGCATGATATACAGTATATATATCTGGATGAATGTCCCAATGTGTTTTAACATGGAATCAAAGTCGCATGATATATATATATCTGGAGGAATGTCCCAATGTGTTTTAACATTACCAGTTCATTTTCTCCTGTTTGAATCATAATGGTCAGCTACACCATGGTACCAACAAATTTCCCCACTTATTTTCTGGGCACTGCAGCCCCTTACTGATTTTTTTTTAAATGTAGCAATACGTCAATATATCAGTTAGGGGTTCCTGCTCAGTAAAATTCCCTCTGTTGCACCAGAGCCTCTCAAAGAACTGCATTGCACTCAGTGGACCCGGACACCCCCTTCCAGGGCTGTGCCGCTTGCCGGACCGGAGGTGGAGTGATGCAACACCTATCGATATCCTGATATAACTGGCAGTTGACATAAGTTTACCTACGTATCAACACAGTGGCCACAAAATATTTAAAAAATTATTGCATGGCAGTAATGGAAGCCGACTTCCCTGGTGACTTGGCTTTGGAAAAGAATCGACAGGGTTATGTACACATGTCATACCGATAAGGAATATATCGAAATGCCATCAGAACAAAATAACAGAAGTCTCCCAGAGAGGGGGAAATAAACTACATTTACACCATTGGCCTGGTAAATAGTTCAATAATAGCTGTATATATGTACAAGATTGCCTTGCATGGGACAGGACCAGCCTATTATCACTCATTTGATAGACTGAGGATCAAATTTAAGGATACGAAGACTTATCCAAAAAGGTAATGGTAATCTTTAGTCTTGCTTATGTCTCCTCTGGAATGTTTTCACTATTTGTTTAAAAGGCTCATTGGCCTTACAACATAATGCAGTCTTCCCCAACCATATGCCTTCCAGCTATGTTGGACTACAGCTCCCATCATCTCTAGCCCGCATAGCCAAGAAACCTGGAAGACACCTAGATGGCAAAGAACTGTATGAGGACTCTACATGTTGCATGCAGCCTGCTGTCATTTCTTATCTCTTGTTTGTGCAATCCAGGGCTCTCAAAAATCCACAACCACCCCCCTTCTTCTTTTAGGTGCTTTGTGAGCTGCCTCCCTTCTCCACCCATCCTGCAGTGCACTCTGCCCGCACAGGCTGGATTCAGGTGGCTCGTCTGCCTTTGCCATTTTGCAACTGCTTGCCACGGGCAGGTTTATGGTGCCATGGGAAATCCAGCTAGCAACAATATCCACCAACCAGTCCCAACTTCACATTCAGTGAAAAGTAGGTGCTTCCCTTTAAGAAACCCTGATGTGTCCTTGTATGCACTTTTTAAGAGTGGGTGAGCTGTGTTGATTCAGAGGGCTGAACTGACATGTTGTTTTGCTGAAAAAATAGTTCAAAAGGATTTTTGCACAGAAATTTGCCGGTCTTGTTTAGGATCTTAACATTTATATTGTTTCTTTGCACAGATTCCACAGAACCCCTATACTGTATTTACTGTTCTTTTAAAACAAACAAACAAACAAACAAAAAAACAAACACACACACACACACACACACACAAACAAATAGACTGGTACAGGCCACATGTTATGAAGTCAGTCTTCCTATGAAGACAGTAAGTCTCTGCTCATTAATGAGTGGCCAAAGAAGTAAAAGATATGCTTGTAGAAACGAGATGCACTTTAGAGTGTAAATATAGTTAAACAAAGCTTCAAAATGTTACTCTGTAAAGGGAGGGGTACAACTCTGAGAGCTCCGCTGCCATCATGAACCATGGCCATACAAGTTGGAGGATTCTTGGAAATACATCACTTCCGAAGTTATGTTTCCAAACTCTTCTTACTATATGCTATGTTTATTTATGCCTAAGGCTTCCCATAAAAAACAATAACCCAAAGCTCTTTGAAAGGAGGGAAACGGAAACAGAAATGTAAGGTTAACTCCCCCTTTATTTGTTTGATCCATTAGTTACATTAATTACATTTATATTCTAGGGGCACACCTGGCTCTCCTCTGTCTCCTAGCCAGAGATGTTGGCAAATCTTTGGGTCCAAGTCCCAAGTACAAATATGAGTCTTCGGTAGCAAGTCCTGCGCCCCAAGCTCCAAATCCCTATTAAAAACAAGCTTCCCCCCTCCCAGAAAACAAAGAAGAGGAAGGTGAGTTCTGAGCCACGAGCTGAGTCGCTGGTGCAATTTGAGTCCGACTTGAGTGCAACTTGAGTCCCCATCCCTGCTCAAAACCACCCTGGGAAACAGGCCAGACTCAAGGTCACTTAGTGAGTTTTATGGCTGAGTGGAGACTTGAATCTGGAGGTCTCAAAGCCTCAGCCAACATTAAAACCACTACACCACACTGTCTCTCTTCCCCATCACTGCTTCCCTTTGCTAGATTAAACACATCATTTCCTTTGATTCATTTACCAACATGAATTGTTTTAGACACATAACCTCCTTATGGGTGGGACTGTGCCAAGCAGTTCATACGGAATGAGAGGATTAAACAGCCGGGAGACCAAGTTCAAGTGTTTTGACAGACCAAGAGCTATGATATATACTTCTACTGACACCCGCACAGGCATGTTGGAGTTTAGCATATGAGTCAGCTGCAACATTGAGTTAAATAACATGACAGGACTCAGTTGGTTTGCTTCTGATTTTGGCATATTTGGCTATTTATTCTATAAACCTCTATATTCCAAAGAGAGTCCACACATATGCCACACACTCCCTGTCACAGGCACTAAGAAGAAATGGGAAATTCTTAACAGATTGAAAAGAAACAAGTGCTCCTCTCAGCTCTAAGAATAATCAGTCATGTTATTAGGACAGGACTTTAGGGCATAAATCCAGAGTCCCAGTCAGCAGAATGAGCAGGAAGCTTCCCAAACACAGAAGGGCTGACACTCCAACATTAGGGAGTGAAGCAAGGTACATAATCACCTCAAGCAGGAATTGGTACCTTTCCAGCAAGGATATACACTGGACCCTCCATCAATCTACTGGGAGCTGTACTGCTGGTTTTCCTAGAGAAAACTGGCAGCTACCACCGAAATCACCACCGCTACAGTAGCTACCTAGTTTCAGCAACAAATCCAGCAGTACTTTGTGGCTCAGAAAGGCACTACCTTCAAGGGTCATGCATGACCAAATAGTCTTATGCTTATGCCTCAGAGTTTCAATATTCACATCTTTCAGCTTACTCTTTTGGCACTGCTATAGGGGATTGTGCAGGATAAAAGTCACGGCCTGCCTTGCAGATGTACTGCAACAGGAAGGCAACCAGCGAGGGGTACATACCTCAGTATGTGTGGGCTTCAGAAAAAGGTTGAGCAACCACTACTTATTTCTCCACATCCAAGATCAAACTTTATGTGGCCTCAAGACAGTTATGCATGGTTCCAGTGAATGGAACAAAGGATACAGACAAACAGATAGAGAGTCTGGTCGATCTTGCTGATTAAAAGGCATTCATGAATCTACTCTTATAGTATTTCTGAGAGAAAGTATGAATAGCAACCACAGTTCCTGACAAAAACTGTAATTACTCTCACTCTCTTCTTTCTTTCTTTCTTTCTTTCTACAACCACAGTCCCTGACAAAAACTGTAATTACTCTTTCTTTCTTTCTTTCTTTCTTTCTTTCTTTCTTTCTTTCTTTCTTTCTTTCTTTCTTTCTTTCTTTCTTTCTTTCTTTCTTTCTTTCTTTCTTTCTTTCTTTCTTTCTTTCTTACCCAGTCCCTCCTCAATCTGGCATACATGGCTCTCTTCTCTCTATGTTTTCCTCCCAACAACTCTGTGAGGTCAGCCAGGCTGAGGAAGTGTGATCAGTCCAAGGTCGTCCTGTGCTTACAAGAGGCAGCCCTACAATTATGCAGTGTAAGCCAACTGCCTTGAGCATCAGATACTAAGGGGGCAGGGATGCAGAGCTTTCAAAGTTGCCATGAAAAAGAATAAATGTAAGGACTTCCTGAAGCCACCCATAATTGAGCAGTGGTAGGGCAATGTTCTAAGTCCCAGAGCATCACCCTTCCCTTAATTCAGAACACTATTATACTCCCCCTCCCTAATAACTTTCCATGTCCTGCAGTGGGGAAGGGAATGGCCTCCTGGCCATGCATTCAGGATTCCCTCCACAGTAAAACAAAGCTCCATATGCCTCACAAGCTCACTTCCGGCATCTTCCGACTATCTCATATATGACTAAAGGTACTCTTCTGCTGTCAGTGCTGAAGGAAGATTTTGCTGCCCAGTCAGTCATCTTTTATTCATGGAATCATGGGGAGGGCAGCCATTCTTTCTTATCTTTTGCCTCAGGCAGGAAAATGTCAAGAAATGAGCTTTTTAGACTAATAAGGGACAGCATTCTGCAGCATGACAACTAGGATGCTAAGATTTATAGTCAACAAAAAGTAACTTTTCCAGCCATTGGACTATACTTTTTTTTTAAACTAAAGACACAAGAAGGATGGCTACAAAAGGGTTACTGCCAGGGTTTTGGTTCTTTTTGTACCAGGAACAATTCTGTACCTTAGTGCTACCCTCCCAAATTGCTACATATTAATTAATATGGAGCTATTTCTAGGATACCTAACTATTCCATGACAGTCACAGCTTTATGCATGAGAGATGCAGCTGTCTCTTCATGCAGAGTGTATCTGTCAATCTAAGGGAGGTGTAGAGGAGAGGGAGGGATAAGAGACTAGATTCAGGAATCTCTGAGTCAGTGACATCCACATGTCCACACCCATCTGAGGTTGGGTAACCTGTGTTTACTCTGCAACTCATCCGATGCAAAACCAAGGTGTGGATTAACTTGAACATCCAATCTCTTTTAGCCCATGCAGCATTAAAAATATTCAGCCAGCAAATATACAGTTTAAGAGGACTCTATAGTTACTCTACTGTTGCTGTTATTATGTGTTGTTGTCACCTCCAACATATGGCAACCCTATGAATGAGTGACCTCTTTAAGGGTGGGATAAATTCCATGTTATCCATACTCAATGGGCTACCTCAGACTGGCAAATACATAGAACAAGAACAAAATGAATCATCATCAGTAACAACAACAACAATAACAACAACACAAAAGATTGGTTCACTGATGGATTCTGACCACTTATTTCCCCCATATATTTATTTATTTATTTATTTCATTTATATCCCGCCTATCTAGTCAATTGTGACCACTCTAGGCGGCTATAATAATATTGATATTGGATATCCAATTTTGATATCGGATATCAAAATGCATAGCTACAGTCTGTAGGGATCAGCATTCATTTGCACAATGGCAATAGAGCAGGATTTTTGTCATCTGCTGCAACTTCAGAAACAATTACCAACCAATGCCATATTTAACTGTGTATGCACCATCCACAGACAGGATTCTTCTGGAGACAGGTTAGATCCAGACCAGAGTACTGTATATACGAACCATTGCAGCCTTAGATATTTTTGCAGCAGAACTGACAAGACAAACTGATCCATCTGCTTTCCTTCCTTTGAGCCTATTTTACAACAACGCACAGAGATGAAGTGAGGGTCAGAAAAATAGTCCCTCATTTTGAAGTCTGCTGTCCAAAGTGATAACTTTGCACTGCTTCCTGTTTTAACGCTTGTCTTGATCCCTGAAGCAGCAGGTCTGTAGACAGGGAGCAGGAAGAGAAAGGGACTAAAGGTTCCCTCACAATTAAAGTCTTGACCCAAAATATCACCACTATCAATTCAGCCTCAGCAATGTAATTGCCCACCATATGGAGATTCTTGAAAATCATTCTGAACACAGAGGCCTGATTGTACAAAGCTGTCTGTATGAGATTAGACATCAGGACACCAAATCTGAGCACTGAGAAAAGTGCTTAAGTTTGCTTAATTAAAAACTAAGAAACATGCTTTTTTCCCCCCATAGCAAAGAACTGAGTCATTCTTTGAACTAGGAACAAGCCAAAGGGCAAAGCTTCACATTTCCTTTAATCTCAGGGAAGTCTTTCCCCCCCTGTTTTTGCTTAGGTCTCCCTTTCATCCCAAGCACCCATCTCTAGATATTGAGACAGAATCTGTGCCTCTCTTGAACCAACTTGCAACTACAAGTTATATAAGGCTTGTGGCTTCACAACCTCCCTTGTGTTCCAATGTGAACTTGTAGAGGATTTCCCCACAATCCCTTCTTGACAGAGAGACCCCACACAGCAGCAATGGTTGTGGGATGGCACCTTAAATGGTTGGCCAGATCATTTGCCTTTCCCTTTGCTGATACTCAGCCCTGCTCCTATACTGTTCAGAGTTGGCACCCACTCATCTGAACTTCCAGCTGTTGTATCACAATTACAAACTACAAGAGGGAAATCAGATTGACACAATAAACAAATCTCCTGCCGTCACCACTAGAGGCACCTACTGAATATCACTGTAACACTTTCCTTATGGCAACAATCAGTGCAGCTAATTTCTTGCAACAACGACAACAAAAACATGTCAGGGGATATATTTACAATTGTATGATGGCTCAGCTCCTGGTCTCACAATTTATTATTCCCTTATTTTTTTTCTCCACAGGAGATGTGTTAGAATCCACTCATTCTTCTTTGGCTCCTGTCAGTTCTTTTAAAAGTTGCTCACTGGCTGCTAGCTTGGTTTCACAAGTTCCAACTTGTTTCTGTTTAATCCAGTCATTCTTACCAAATGCTTCCTGCACTTTTCTGACTCCAGAGCTAATTCACAAGGCTCTCACACATGGCACAAGGAGAACACCAAGCTCAATATATCACACCCATTCACCACCACCCTCCACCTCAGAGGATTCCAGCTGTATTCCCTGCAATCGCCACGACTGGCTCTTCTACAAGCTGAGCCCGGGCAGGTGAGGTTGCCTGGTAAGAAGGTCACAGTTGAGTCATTTAGAAGAACTCCTCCTGCCTTGAAAACTTGTGAAGAAAAGAACAAGCAAATACTGACCAGAGCTTGCCAAGGTGTCAGATTTGACCTCCTGCGTGAAGATCCAAGGGGGATTGGTGACAAACAGGTTGTTGGCAGAATTGTTGCTGGCATGTTTCTTCCCAAAGAGTCGGCTAAAAGTTCCCTGCACAGAATTATGCTTCTTCATCCTTCCTCTATTCTCCCTTTTCTAGGTCTCCAAATGCTCCCTCTAGCAAGACATATTTCCAGTTTGCGCAGTTACCACCCAACATGCAGAGCTCCAGCAGGTGTGAGTCTGCTGAGCTACCTTTTCAGACGCTTTAAAGCTAAACCACCTGAGCAGGTAGACAGAAAGAGAGGGAGGGAGGAAGAGGGTTGGCTTCTGTAACCTAGCCACACCCCACAGCAGCTCTTTGGTCACATTCTTTCCTCGCTGCTACAATAAGCCTTTGTTAAAGCCAAGGCAGTCCTTTAGCTCTGGAACTTGTGAAGGTCTCCCCTGGGACACTGCTGTGTCCACGGAGACTATAGACTTGATCATATAAAGCTCGCTCAGTTTCCCAGTTTTAAAAAACACAACACCAAACCATACTTTTCAGGTTTCCTGAGGAAAAGCTGAATAAAAAAAGAATGCACAAGTTGTCAACACATGGATTCCCCAGCCTTACTAATTCAATATTTATTTAGGTTTATAACCGATTTGTTATGTCTCAGAAGGACAACTATAAATATTTCATATTTCAAGTGATATTTGCTTTTGTTTTTAAATAAAGATACGCAAGAGAAATGAACACCCCGGAACACCTCTGCTCTTAATCAGAACCCTTGCACTTTGGCCCTTCGAAAATCTGTATGAGTTCAGGGCAATCTGAAACTTTGGTGAATCCACTTTTCACTGGGAGTGGCCACTGGGAGCTTTTTCTGTCTCTCTCTTTTTCTTCATTCATCCTCATAAATGCTACTTCATGATCAAAAGGGACTATAAAGAGGCTGCTCTTAATCCAATAGAGATCACAGTGAGACACAAGGCTGGAAAAAGACACTTTTCCCAACAAGGAGACATTTCCTCACTAAGAGTGCTTCCAGTGGACAGCTCCTGTCACTAAAGTCCGCTGGGGTTATACAGCTATTTAACCTTTAGTTGTTCAATGGATCTTTTGAAGATAAAAGCAAAGACAGAAGGGTTACACATAAAAGGCATTAATGCCAGGGGCTCCCATAAAGTTCTTTAAATGAGCCAGAGCAATCACATGATAAAATAATAATCTACAAGTGTACAATCAATGCCACTTAAGTGCTTAACACGAATACATCCTACTTCCCCTTCATGCGGCTACTTCCAAACCAACACTATCCTTCCCCAGGAATGTGCCAGGGGACACCAGATTTAATTATAAAAGGGTTTGATTGTCACATGTTCATTGGTTCTAAATACTACAGTAGTATCAGAAGCACAAGGAGAAGCTTGAGGGAAGAATTATCATAGCTTCCAAAATATATATTAGGGTGGCCTGATATATTATTTCCCTCTGGACCTATCATGAGTTTCTTGGGTTAAATTAGGCACCATATGAGGTGACTTCTGTTTATACAGTAGGAGTTTCCTCTTCTCCCTCTGCAGTCCCCCAACCCTGTGGATCTGACTGGAGGGGTGATGTAAGGTAACTCCACAGGAATTCAGTCTGCCAGTTATGTAGGTTTGTTGAAAGCAACCCAGTGATAATAAAGGGTACTTTAGGAACCTCTCTGGTTGAAAAACAAAGTATATATATTTTAAACAAATATAGTGATCTCGCTTTTCCAGTTTGTTCATACCTATAGAAACAGCACCATGAGTTTGGAGGATCATATTTAAAAAGCAAAAATGTAGCAAAACCTTGGCTTCAACATCTGAAATATAATTTAAAGTATCGATTTAACTTTGAAATTCAAAACTTTAATCATGGAACTTTAAAGTGAGTGGCACAAATATTTATGTATGTAGTTGTACCGGATAGCACCATAGCAGAAGGATCTGCACAGCATAAATATCAAGCTGGCAATACCTGTAGTGTAGCCATGGAGGGATTCATTATGGAATGCACTCATGCAACCATACACAAACAGAAGAACCACTTGTGAAAAAGTGTTTAGAATACTGTCCTTCCACAATGTCCCAGAAAGTGCAATTGTTTACACATCAAAGGCTGGTGTGAACATACTGACCAAAAAGAGAGATCTTGATCAGTTTTTTTTTCTGAGAAGCTTCAATTCAGCTCTAGAAAATTCCACAGAAAAATCCAGATGACCATGCCATAGCTGTTACATAATTGTATCTCAAGCACATAGAATGCTTGAGTGAAATAACTGACCCTGCTTAAATACAAAGATGGGATACATATCTCAAATGTATGGATGTGGGAATCACTCCACATCTGAACACAATGGAGATTATATTTTATTATCATTTGAAAATTTCTATTTACTGTTTCCAGATTTACAACACTGTACCAATTCTCCTTAACTTCATGGAATGACATACATGGGAGAAGGTACACAATGGAGAGGAGTCAGCTTTTACCTTGAGGTAATTATTATTCCTAACATTATTATGTATCTGTCTCTTAATTTGGAACAGCTGGCTGGATAGCTCAGTGGCCTTGGGCAAGCTGCACAGTCCCAGGGCACCCCCAAAAGAAAGGAATGGTAAACCACTTCTGTGTGTTTTCCACCTGGGAAACCCTGAAAAGAGTTGCCATAAGTCACAATTGGCTTAATGACAAATGAGGAGGAGGAGGAAGATTAAAATCAAAATTAACGGTTCAGCCAGATAGCACAATGGCCTGAGTGAGTTCATTATTCAGTTATATGTCCACCTGATGGTGGGTAGTGATGATATCTGGCAGATATTTGTCCATTATCCTGTTCTGTGTTTAGGTGGATGGCACTCTGTCTGTGGAAACTGATAGGGTGCCAGTTGTGTGCCTGATCATATGCAACGGACATCTCATCTGATTGCTGTACAGCTTCTGTGCTTGCAGCTCCACACACATGTAAATATTGGACAGGGTCCTGGCCATCATTTGGAATACAGTTCTACAAAAGGACAACTACAGAAGGTCCTAATCTTCATGCAATGCTCTTTATATGGGGCTGCCTTTAAAGAAGCTGGTCCAGAAGGCTATGGTCAGGTTGTTGACTGGGCCTGGTAACAGGACATCTGTGCTTTCCTTATTACAGCAGCTTCAAGGGCCAATGAGGAAGACAGCATTTTCTCATATGAGCCTGCCAAGGTTTTAGGATTTTGTGGGAAGAACTTGTCATGATGAGAAGCACATTTAGTAAGGGCAAGAGAAAGAGCTTGTACTCATTGGTTCCTGTTGTCTTTCTGCTGAGTGCCAAGCACTCCCTCTCCCGCCGAGGGAAGCTCAGGTGGCTTCCTCCCCGTCATCTTTCTGTTGGCAGGCAAAGACATGTTTATTCAGATGAGCTTTTGACATTAGGATGGGTTGTTGTTCTGGGCATTTTAACTGGTTATGCTGTTATTTCTTTCTATTGGTGTATTTGAATAATTTGTTCTTATTTATTTTTTATGTCTGACTTCTATACAAATTATATTTCATATTTCATTTCTTTGTTAGCCTTCTTATGTTCTTTTGTACAGAAATAAACCTGGTGTAGGCACGAATACCCAAATGACAATAGCCAAGAGTGTAGTCTCTTTCTCTGACACCTGTCTGTAATACGGAGGTGTTACAGCCTAATGTGGCCAGTATAAGGATAGTTGAGATAATTTATGTGAAACCCTCTGAAACAGGAAGTGGACTATATAAATGGCATGTGGTCCTTGTTGTTAGTATAACAATTGTATTGAATTGATATCCAAAATTAAAATTAAATTAAAATCTTGAGTCACTCGTGCGACTTTTTTTGAGTGTATAAATGGAAGGCATTGGGTGACATGCAAAACATAGTATTTAAAATGAAGTGTTCACACTGCTTAATAATCCCATTCTGTTTACTTGGAAAGTTCTAATGAGTTCACCTGGAACCCGACTGTAAATGTTTGAGTTAGTTTGGCAAATTATATGTTAAGGAAGAGCTGTAAGCATACCAAAACTCACTCACCATGGCAGCAGGACATGTTTCACAAACTGTCAGTGGCTGAAGAATGTATGGCTCAGTTTTCTATTTTCTTTCTAAAGCCAGTATAACTACATATTTTAGTTAACAGACGTGCTTTCAAAGAGGTTCACCTTCAGATAAGGAATTAAAGCAGATGACAATATTGATTGGCTTCCCTGTTGCATAGTGCATATTTATTTTTAAATAATCAGAATCCCTGAAGTCTTATATATTTTAAATTTAAAAAGTAAGAATAATTATCTACTATCTAGTTATAGCAGTTTGATGCCTCTTTAGCTGCCATGGCTGCATCTTATAAAATCATAGGATTTGCAATTTGGTATGGGAGTCTGGTAACAGGTCTACTGCATGGCTCTACATGACAGCAGAAACATCAAAGCACCTCACCTCACCGAAAGACACATCCCAAGATTGCATAGGATTTCATCAACATTCTCTACAGAAATTCCAGACAGCAGCATTTCATTACTGGGAATGAATAAATATTATACTATTAGGTGACCATCATCCTTTTGCCCACCTTTCTATGAAAAGCTATGAACAGTTTAAAACAAGAGGTAGGCAACATGTACTCCATAGGCCATATGAGGTGTTCAGGAACCAAGTGTACCCCCTAGAACCCTGGGGTCTCCATCCATCTACATTAGTTTGCCTCAAAATGTTGCCATATACCTCCTGTTAGGGGCAATTTTGCCATGTTTTGAGGGGCAAGAGCAGCCAAGGACTTTCACTATACAAAACATGTTCTTTTTTTTTAATTGGTCACTGACAGGAAAAATTTAATGATGGTGGCTCCTCATAGGAGGAAGTGTGGGTGGCCCTTCAAGGTCCTGGAACAGCTGTATATAGCCTCTGGACCGCTAGAGTTTGCCCATCTCTGAATTAAGATATGGCAATGATAATTGTGTGCCATCAAGTCAAGTCTGATTTATGGCGATCCTCCCTTTCTAAGGTTTTCTAAGTAGAGAATATTCAGAAGTGGTTTGCCATTCCTTTCTTCTGAGGGCAGCTCTGGGACTGTGCAGCTTGCCTATGGCTACAAAAGCTGGCTCTTCGCCTAGGAGGCACAATGTGGAATCAAATGCCCAACCTCTGGCTCCACAGATACCTAAAGTACTATGCTATCCAGCCAGCTGAAATTTTGATTTTATCATTATATATTTCCTGCCACTCACCAGGAGTTATATCAGTGTGTGTGGCTTGTGCCTTTTGTTATAAAATGAATCCCATCTTTCTTCTTAAAAACAAAGACAGAGGTGATTAAATACTTTTATCAAACAAAGCCTACTCTTCCCTGTTCAGCCAAGGAAACTCATCAGGGATGGAAGGGTATGTGTGTGAGTGGCCACTTACATGCCACCAAAAAGGAGAACATGTATCACCAAAAAAAGGAAAAGTGTTCAAA